CTGTGAGTGTAAATTTGGGCAGCCAGCTTGGTCAAGCTGTTTGGAGCTGGGAGTCTGGTTGTCGGTAGCTCCAGTTCCACATCAGTGTTCATTCTCCTGGTTATTTGCTCACACCAGCTCCCAGCACACATCACACACCCTGGGGGCATCACTCACCCGTTGGTCACACCCACTCCAGTGACAGCTTTACTTCTTTCCTCTCCATTGCACAGACTTAGTCACACCTAGTTGCACACACTAGTTCACAACAATTGGTTACACACACACAACAGCACACACCCAGTCACCCCCAGTTACACATGCTCTGTTTCCATCAATCAGCCGCCCAAGCCCAGTCTCTCAGTTGCACAACTCGCTGACACACTCAGTGACACACCCTGTCAAAGCTGCAACACACACACACACAACCTTAGTCCCAGGTCTCTCCCAGGACTGGTATTGGTCAGGAGGAGACAAGTTGACTTGCTTCTGGCAGCCTTGGGTCTTGGAGTGAAAGGGTGGGGCCCCCAAGGAAACTTGGGTAGGGATTCTCCTCCCTCCAGAGGATTGCTCCCCCTCGTCTACATGCATCATGGACCTTCCTTTGCTGCATCCCAGGAGCCTCTCCTTTGGAAGGCACGGCCTGTGAATCAGCTTGGGGACAGGCTCCCAGCTGCCCCAGGCCTGCCAACCTCTGCCTGAGACCTCCATTCATGTACATGCATTATCTAGCGATGCACCCATTTCCCACACAATCCACCTACCCACTGTTCTACGGACCAGCCACCACCAACCACCACCGCACAAACACAGTTCTAACCCACTCACACCCCTTAAATCCAGCTCGTGTACTTTTCTCTGGGTACAACAGCAACCTCCTAGCTGCTGCCCTCATGATCCCAATTCACTCAGGTTGAAGGTCCCTTCTCCTCTGTGCCTTTTGCAGCCCTTGACCCTGTCCACTCTGGGCCTCTTACCTAATCCCTCCCTTATGCCCCTTCCCAGGTGTGTGTATGAGGGGGAACATCTGTATTATCAGCACAAACCAAACTGCTCTCCGAGGCCCAAGGAAGAGAGGGTGGCTACAGGGGGAAGGAGCAAAGGCGAGGTGCCGCTGGTTTGAGTGGCCGGGGCCATGCAGGGCTGCGTGAGTGGGCTTCCCTCTACCTGAAGGCTCCGAAGGGTGGGGAGGAGGGGGTCCCCTCGGCAACCGGCAGGGGCGGAGGGGAGGCGCGCTGGCCCCAGCCCGTCCCTTTCGGGGGGGACTCATGCATCAAACTTCAATTTTCCGGACGATTGAATTAGTGATTTTTTTCTCCTGAACTAAAATACACTTAAGTCTTTGGGATTAATTACCACGTTCTGGTCCCTCAGACTGGAGTATTACTTATCGGAGCTGCGTCTGACACCAGCCCGACACCTCGTAAAATAAGGAACTGCGCCTCCTGGCCTCACCCGGCGCCGCCCGCCAGCCCCCGGGTCAGGGAAGGCGGAGCGGAGACAGCGAGCCAGCCAGCTCGGCGGTGGGGCCGGAGGGGCCGGGCCAGTCGCCGCGCTGCCGGGTCCCAGGCCAGGAGATCAGAAACCGCCCTTATTCGGGGACGAGGGGAGCCGGGCCGAGGCCCCGGACCCATCGGGGAAGGAAGAGACAAAACCGGGCTGCTTCCCCCGGGCGGCGGGGAACCGAAAGCGGGCTGCAGAGAAACCAGAGTCCTGGGTTCCTTTGCCTACAAGGCCCCAGGCGGCGAAGGGACTCCGGGCACAGGGCGAGCGGCCCCGAGGGTCCTAACCTTAAGGAACCTCACCTGCGAATGGGCGCAGGGCTCACAGCCCCTAACACGATCCATGCCACACTCACACGCACACACGCTCGGAGAATAACACACGTAAGGCACATGCCCCGCTCCCACGGAGCTCACACCACACGCAGCCGAACCTCGGACAGGCCCGGCAGACACCGATCGGCAGCCCAGGGCCGGCGCTAGCGTTCGAGGCCCAAGGCTCTGCCGAAGCTCCCCGATCGTCCCGGCCTGCGCGCAGGGAGTAGCTCCCCTCAGAGCCGGGGTGGCTGGGGAGAGGGTGGGCTGCACCCAGCTCGCCCCTCCGTCCCAGCCCCTCGCCCTGGCCTACAGTCAAACCCTCAGGCCCGGCCTGCGTGCGTCGCTGATGGGGCCAGAACATCAGCCCCAAGCGGCGGCTCTCCGTCGGGCAGAGTCGGGCCACAAGGGCCACATGGGCTCTCGGCGGGTCTCCGGAAGCCTGCCCGGCGACCTGGCCGTGGGACCGCATTAGCAGAGCTGAAGGGACTGCGGGACCGGTCGAATCTGCTCCCCAAATTGTGTGGAACTGAGCATGCGGTGGCGCGCGGTCTCGGGGCCTCCCGGCCAGGGCTCAGCCCAGAGCTTCTGATGACAGTCCGGCCCTTCCTTCGCCGGCCCTTCTGTCTGGCCTATGGCAGCAACGAATTCCCTCTTGTCTTTCAAGGCCTGGGTCCAATGCCACCTCCTCCGTGAAGCCCCCACTGCCCGGAGCCCGAAGCCCTGTCTCCGAGTCCTGCAAATGCACTTTCCCTGCCCCTCGGCCCAGGTCTCCCGCTATCGCCGGGGGTGCAGCGGGTCTTGTCCTGCTAAACTGGGAGCTTCTTGAGGGCAGGAACTGGATCGGATTTCTTTCCATCTCCCAGCACCCGGTGTGCGGCCAGGCGCCGAAAAGACACACAATAAACATTTGCGGAATTGAATGACTCCTTCTCTTTATTTTATGAATCCTTTCTCTTCCTCTTTCCTTCTTTCTTTTCCTCCTTTCTTCCTCCCTCGTTATTTTTTATTTCTCGGTTATATTCAATTGTCATGTTTTTCAGGCTCATTAAATCCATTTAGAGACAAAAGAATAAAAGGCAGAAGGGGAAGGAGGGGGAGGAGGGAATGGGGAGGGGAGGGGGAGGCCGGAGAAGCAAACAAATAACCCGCTTTAACTAGACGGGCGGATAAATGGCCCCGTTTCTCCTCAGCCTGGATGCGCCTGCTTAGCCGCGCGCCCCGCAGGCGCCGCAGCTCGGGTGGGCTCGGCCCCGGGGCCGCCCGCCCCAGCTCGGAGGGATCCAGTAGGGCCTGGCCGGGACCTCCGAAGCGGGGATGTGGGCCGGAGGTGGCCAGGGCCCGGCTTTCATTGGGATTCATGGCGTGTTGGGCGGGCGCCTGGCTGCGGCCCGGGCGGGGGCCTGG